GTTCCATTTCGCTAAATGAGCGCTCACATGTATGTTCATTATCTTGTATCGTGTTTGCTATGCGTTCCTTTAGTATTGCATTATGTTGCCTCTTAAGTTATCCCGTTGCATCTTATTTGTTTTTACATTTTATATTGAGGCGCCCCATATAACCTATGTGAGTCTACTCCTTTCTAAGTTGTTTCATAAGTTATATTACATTATTTGAATTCACATTATTTCATACAGTTCCATATGAGTACAGTTTGTCGTACTTTGTGTTTATTTACATGTATATAGACATATGCAGTTTTATTGCTAAACACAGATAGATAGATCGATAGATAGGTGGATAGATGGGTAGATAGATAGATCAGTAGAAAGACATATAGACTGATAGCTAGACATAGCTTGTGCAGCAGCATTCACACATCCCATCAATCATCGGATAGGTTTATTCCAAGCAACCCCAAAAGCAAGGATTTAAATCTGGGTGCACTGAATGACAAGTTGGTCCGGTGCATGCATGGTTTTCTTTTGGTGGTATCATTGTCCAGTAGATATGGACATGAAAGAGGAGCTGGGCAATTCACGTGGTAAAACTCAATTTGACGCTTACACCCGGGCAGCAGGTCAACAACACAGAATGTGATCAACCAAAATTCAGTACTGTAATTAATCTACGGTAGATTCCGCCTCTGCAAGCTTGCATGGAAGCCTCCAGCCACAGGGTTTCTATTGGGGTTTCTATCAGCACGTGATGTTCGAGTTACTTATTTTAGGGTTGAGGGTTCTCGGGCCTGGCGTTAGGGTTTGAGAAACCGTTTCCAGGCTGGGCTACATCTCTGCTGGGGCGCTTCTTCTTGGAAAGCTGGTGTTGTCGCTTCTCTTCCGCAAGGACACATTTGCGTCCAATCCGTGACTGGAATGTCCGGTGATGTCAGGTGTTTTCCGTGCGTTCGCGTAAGCGTACGAAAGCAGTTGGAGCAAATCCAACTTGCATTGGGGTGACATGTTCGGGTTCAGGAGTGCCAGCGATGCGGACCGCCTTTTCGAGGGTCCACTTTGTCTCACATTTAACCGCAGTCTGCGTGTGCTTTGAAGGGGGCATCAAAGCTTTGGCTTTATTACTGGTTTTCCCTACACCTGTGACACAAAACCCTCCACCCGAAGCGCCAAATCCTAGATGTTCCGAGAGGCCATGCGCCCAAACATTCAAGCCCGAGCCACCGAAAAGCTACTAGCCCCTAAAGCCCAAAAGAACATTACTCCAAGGGTCGGAGGACCTACAGTAATGAGTAAGCCGGCTCGGAATTAAGATAAGCCGTACTTTCATTTGTACGTGTTTGTTACAGGGTTGGAAGCAGGGTCATTCAAGCCTACCCTCCACATTACTTGCAAATACTGGAATTGTACATCTTTCGCCTCTTGGGAACAGGAACTGCAAGCTGATATAATGTAGGAACCCGATTAATTAAGACATCCTGGTTATAACCCAACGTTTGCATATCCATGTTACAGAAAGCTCATAAAGACCCACGGTTAGCCCTACAAGGATCAGTCTGCTAACCTCTCCTCAATGTAGTCACTATTGAGGTACTTTATGACCCAGGTATGTACTAGATGGGTACATGGACCTAAACCCTACACCCTGAACCCGAAAACGTGAAGCCGGGCGATGCAAAGAAAGAGCCGACACCACTTTAAAACAAAAATCCTTGAAGCCTAAACCCTTGTGTAGATGACGTGTTAAGCCCAAACGGCCGGAGGAGCTTATCTTGCGTCCGTTGGACCTGTTTCTGCCCGAGGCCGTGCATGAAACGAACAGACAGACGTGAAGTCTGAAGGGACGTGTAGGTTCCTTCAGGGGATCCATGAATCTATGAGGGTTCGAAAAGGGAGCGATACGGGTTCTATAAATGTTCAGGGGTTATGACGCGCAACGGTTCAAGTTTTGATGTCAGAAGTTGAACCTACAAGTTTGTACTCCCCGAACCGCTGTGCATGTTAGAATTCTTATAAGAAGCTTTTGGGTGTAATACAGGCATGGTTCGCTATCAGCGTGAAATGATTTGGTTCCGGGTTTAGGGTAGAAATTAGGAGGGTCCCCATGAGGTCGCTTGTTTCCATGAACTCTCACATGATGCGAGCCTTTAGACCCCGAGCCCCAAATCCTTGCCCGGCTTACAGATCCCTGCAGATCCTTTACGGAGCCCCAAACCGGAACCCTTAACCCCTAACAAGGAATCCCGCAAGAAAGTAGTGCGAAACCTTTGTAATTGCTGGGGGATCCCGGCGTGCCCTGGAGGGCTCGTCAGTGCAATCACTGCCCTCGAAAGAGGCAGGTGCGTGGTCAGGGCTTTGGCGTTAAGGTTAAGAGTTTCCTAGAGTTTGCTTTGGTCTCGAGGATGTTACATGTGTTTTGTGTTTCGTTGCTGTGGTTTGGTTCGCTGTTTGTCCCAAGAAGTTAGAATGATCTAGACCCCTCTTTCCTCAGAAAGTTTGATGAACTTTTTGGGGGCTCGGTTATTGAATGCGAGAGAAATTGACTGGGCCCCGCTGGGACGGTGGTTTGCGGAGGACCATGGAATTCGTATTAAGCCTTTCTAGCTTTCGCCTGGCACAATATGACAACATGGGGTTTCCCATGCTAGTCGAAAGAGGTGTGCCTATAACTGTGAGCTCCATAACCAACATCCGGTCGGGCTCGGGTTTGTTAAGGCTTTGGGAATTCGTGTGGCGCCAGGGACTTTGGTGAAGCATGTGACCCCAATGGCATCTCGTCGTGGTCCCCTACAGACCGCTCACCTGCACCAACTGCATTTGTTGAGGGCTGTAGTTTTGCACGGTACTGCGATGTCTGTCAAGAGCAGTTGCAGCATTACCCCAACCTTCTCCACCGATTCTCGTTCTGAGCTGTGATGCAGACATGCGGCAGCCTGGTCAAAATTTGCTCTTCGAAACTGCTCATAGACCGAAGCCTCAAGTTTAAGGCCTAAGCTGTATGAAGCCACGGTTTTTCGGTCGCTTACGAGTAATTAGGCCTGAAAGAGGCATGCGATTTCGTAAATCATTTATGTTGAGGTGCCTTCTTTGTGAACCCATAAGAGTTCAGCAGACCTTCACACCCAACTGCATCTGGGCAGATGGCTATGCATGCCACTCTGCTGAGCTTCGTCGTGTCTCGTCTGCAGCTCACCATTGCTGCTTCGGGCTAAGATTTTAGGAAGCATCGTGTAGGTAGGTGTAGAACGGAAAATACCGTTTTTCGAGGGGGTTCGATGCAAAGTTCTTTTTGAGAATTCAGGTTCGGATGCCTTGGGCGCAAAATTAAATCTTGAGTCGGGTTCACAAGCTTCACAAAGAGTCAAGGAGCATACATGTGTCTGCAGATCAGGAGTAGTAGCTCTTTTCAGTTATTTCGGGCGTCTCAATTATGAGTTGTATGAAGAGTTCTACACACTACATAATCCTCACGTATGGGGCATGGGGCTTGGCTGGCTTCCCCCTAAACCCCTATGAAGACCTATGTATACCCTTATGAACCCTTACCAGCACCTTTCAAGTTATGAGATCAGCGCCCCGCGACCTGAAACCAGGAACCTAACAACTATCTCTGTCTCTTTTGCTAAACCCTGTACTTGGAGTATCATGGGACTTAGTAAGCATGGTTATAAGTCCCCTAATTGGGGTTATAAGTATAGTTACCTTAGTTATCACCCTACTTACTAAGTCCCATGATCCTTTAAATACTATGGGCATAACAGTATTCCCCACGGTTCGCTCTAGTTTCAACTTACTCTAATACTTCCGGCCATAACTTATTACATAGCGAAACCCTAAGCCCTAAACCCTGCAACCCAAAAACCTTGAGCCATCAAAGTTGGACTCTGTGAGGCTACCGGCTTTTGGGTGACGTCTTTGCAGCTCGGCAACCCTAAACCCCAGACCCAAACCCTACTTGGAGGATCATGGGACTTAGTAAGTAAGGTTATAAGTCCCTTAATTGGGGTTATAAGTATAGTTATCTTAATTATAACCCTACTTACTAAGTCCCATGATCCTTCAAGTAAACCCTGACCCCTAAGAGTGGGGAAGAGCCTCGCACTCAAAGCCTCTCTTAGAGTTTAGGGTTTAGGGTTTCTGCCGAGGTCTGGAGTCGGGTGTGCAGGCTTGAGGGATTTCGTTGATGGAGTTTTGGACTTTAGTGGTTAGAGGTGTAGGGTTGAGGGGTTTAGGGTTTAGGATTTTAGTGGTTAGAGGTGTGGGGTTGAGGGATTGAGGTGTTGGTTGGGAGTTCGCTGAAGGGTTTAGGGTTTGGGGCTCAGTGTTTCGTACTGACTGAGTCGCCTAATCCCCAAGCATCATGTAGATGAAAATTCCCTAAGCAGCTACTGTTTGGAGGAACTCTTTGCAGACCCCAGGTTCAAGGACGTTTTCAGGTGGGTACTTACCGTTATAGGAACCTTCTAGAAGCCTTATAGAAGCCCTATATACCCTAAACCCTAAACCCTAAACCCTAAATACCCTAAACCCTATATACCCTAAACCCTGTATACCCTAAACTCCCCACCTGTAGTTTCCTTTAACAGGTTCGAGGTGGAAGAGGCAATATAGAAGCTTAGATAGTCAAGCAGTAGCATTCGTTCGGGCCCCCCGGGATCAGGGTTTAGGGTTTAGGGTTTAGGGTTTCAGATTTTGGAGGCCTTACAATACTCAGAACTTGGGGTTTCTAGACAAACCGACAAGATCTAGAAGCTGTGCCCCTGAATTCTGCTTGTGCCATTTTCAATTCAGGCGTTCATGGCTTTCATGTCGCAAGGAAGCAGGGCTTTTCGGGGAGACCAGAACTTAGCAAACTCTCGGAGCACTCTCTGGGTGGCCCCCTGGCCCTAATCTTCTCATGACATGCAGAGAGACTTTTAGCTGCAGGGCGCTTTCGGCACTGCAGAAGCCGACCGTCATCCAAGAAGAGTTTCAGAAGCTGAGCTGAAAGTTGCTCAGGCGTGAGGGTTGAGCGTGGTTTAGGGTTTAGGGTTTAGGGTACCCAAAGGCTCCATGTACCCACATAGTAGATACCCAGGCCTTAACGTACCTATATAGGGACCCCTTTGAGGCAAAAGTATCTACTATAAAGGTACATGGAGCCTTAGGGTCAGGGTTCAGAACCTAAGCCCTAACCCGGTTTCGGGTTCGGGGTTGGATGGTGTTGTTAGATCGGAAAGCCTTTTGTTTGAATTCCGAAGTGGCTCTCTACGTTTCTGGCAGGATGAAACCTTATGGGTTAGTAAACAGAGGGCAGCAAAAACTATACATACATATGTCTATACATATATATATATATATATATATGATTTTTATTATTATTAGTACACATGGCCATATATGTGTACACATATAGGGATGTATGTGTATATATATATATATAGTTACGTTCATAGTTTTTATCTCTCTCTCTCTCTATATATATATATATATATTTATATGCTTGAAAAACTCATAAGCTGCAGCCGGGACATTTGAACGGATGGATGTAGTGTGAGTCATTTAGGAAAATGGCGCAGATCAGGCATTTGCAACGAGGATATTCTGAACATCTCTGAACCCTACCTACTGGGTCATACCCTACCCTCATTCGCGGGTCCTAGTTTTATGGTCAGGATCTGTTATATAGAAAAGTAGGTACCATGAAAACGGTGTAGGGTATGATGCTATAGGCAAAACCGCAACCCAGGGAGCAAGACAGTCACGAAGTACTCTAGCTTTTTGGTGCGAGAGCTTGCGTCTCACACGCGCGGCAGCAAGATAAAGCCAGCCCTGTGTCTTACACATTCGGTTATCTTGACAATCTTCCGAAGGGTCTGGGGGATAGGTTGAAAGGGTGTCTTTTCGCCAGTGTTTGGTGTATTCAAGACTTTGATAGCAGGCTATCAGCGTAAGATATGCTGTCTTTGCGCCCAGTACTCCGTATTCCTTACGTCCGATACCGCACTGCCGGTTGTTGTGCTCGGTATTCCCTTGAATAAGGGCGGCCGTGCAGTTCAGAAGTGCTGGCCATCAGTTCCCTCCACTTCACGGGCTAACCTGTGCAGGACAGTCAGTTCTTGTGATAGCAAGGACTTGTTGGTTGATACAGGGTCGCCTAGTGTGTGGGGGGGGGGGGGGGTTATGACTGAAAGTATGATTGAAAGCATCAATATTGCTGGGTCTAAGACTCAGGCTCCATTTCAACAGCTACCGGTAGCTTCGACCTCAACCCAAGATCCTGCAATTCTGTACCTTCGCCCCCGGCAAGATCGGACCCATGGTTCATGGTGCGTTGAAATTTCAGGGGCACAAGAAAACGAAAGTCTAAGCCTCAAGCGGTACACCATAGAATTCCCAGTGTTTTGGATCTTTTGAAGACTGGCCGCCAAGCTTTTCAGGTATGTCTTCCTCACCGTGTGTCTTCGCAGCCGTTAAGTTGCTGGGGTCAAGCTGATGGGGTGTGTGTCGAGGGTTCCGTAGCTGAGGATTATTATAGGGGCGTTAATAATTGCCAATGCTATTTTGGG